GTCTTTCATGTCCGGAATAATTGGGTTGTAGGTTTTTCAGGCTGTATGGCCATGTTCAAGAAGCATTCTCTCCTGACATTTCACCCACACCTATGGCAGGCGTCCTCAGAGGTTTTGAGATCTGTATTGTTGAAGGCTTTCATAGCCGGAATAACTGGGTTGTTGTAGGTTTTTTCGGGCTATATGGCCATATTCTAGAAGCATTCTCTCCTGACATTTCGCCTACATCTATGGGATGTACGATCGATTAAAAATGTTTCAAAAGTAATTACAAAATGGGGAGGTGCTGAACCTTTGTTTTTAAAGTGTTTCTAAAGTGTCGTTAGTGAAAAATTTGTCACTATAATGGGAGTAATGAAATTTTGTTACTATTTTGTTATAGTAATTGTGCATAATTATGAAAATTGGGGGAAATTGAAAGGCCCCCTTTTTTTCAATTTTTACAGCTTATTGGGATGAAACTTGCTACAATGGTAGAAGACCTTGAACACTCTTAGCCCACCAAATTTCAGAACGTATCACTTATCCACGGATTTTTGGGGAATTTCCAAAGTTTTTATAAACAACATATTTTAATAATAAAGGAAACATGTTCCTAGCGTGAAAGAGCTATTTCCTGTTTCATGTAGTAGTCCTTACTCTGAAAGTAGTGGTTCTACATCAGGAACTTTGTTTTGGCAACAAAAAATTAGTTAAGTGAGTGAATGACAATGTTAAATGGATGGGCTGGATAGCAAACGTGCCATAACACGATGTCCCTCGCGCAAAGACAGTTTAATAAACTTTCCCCATGTTTTCATGATAGAACCAATTAGGAAATGACATTTCTAACCCAGGAACAAAAAACATAGTGCAAAGAATTAAATTTATTGGAACTCTGGCTGGCTATGGAGGGGAGGGAGACGTTTCTCTGACGCTGAGCAATGCATTCTGGGAAATGTAGTTCAAGGCAGGTCCTTTTGCATTCTCTGGCATAGGGCTCCTCCCTTCCCAAACTACATTTCCCAGATTTTTCCCAGAAAACTCCACTTTCTCCCTCTTTTCCATCCTCTTCTAATGGCGAGAGGCAATGCATTCTGGGAAATGTAGTTCAGGGCAGGTCCTTTTGCATTCTCCGGCATAGGCTCCTCCCATCTCAAACTACATTTCCCAGATTTCTGTGCTTTTCCCAGAAAACTCTGCTTTCTCCCTCTTTTCCGTCTTCTTCTAATGACGAGAGGCAATGCATTCTGGGAAATGTAGTTCAAGGCAGGTCCTTTTGCATTCTCCGGCATAGGGCTCCTCCCTTCCCAAACTACATTTCCCAGATTTTTCCCAGAAAACTCCACTTTCTCCCTCTTTTCCATCCTCTTCTAATGGCGAGAGGCAATGCATTCTGGGAAATGTAGTTCAGGTCAGGTCCTTTTGCATTCTCCAGCATAGGGCTCCTCCCTTCCCAAACTACATTTCCCAGATTCCTGTGCTTTTCCCAGAAAACTCTGCTTTCTCCCTCTTTTCCGTCTTCTTCTAATGACGAGAGGCAATGCATTCTGGGAAATGTAGTTCAGGGCAGGTCCTTTTGCATTCTCCGGCATAGGGCTCCTCCCTTCCCAAACTACATTTTCCAGATTTTTCCCAGAAAACTCCGCTTTCTCCCTCTTTTCTGTCCTCTTCTAATGGTGAGAGGTCGTTCATTTACAGAGGAAAGTCAAGGCACTAAGGCAGCTTTTTTGGCTTTGCTTTCAGATTTGTTTCCTTTCACTGAAGCCACAGGGAGGAGGGAGCAAGCTTCCTTTCTGCTTCCTTGGAGACTAGGACGCAATGGAGCCATGGCTTCAAACTACAAGAGAGGAGATTCTATCTGAACATGAGGAAGAACTTCCTGACTGTGAGAGCCGTTCAGCAGTGGAACTCTCTGTCCCAGAGTGTGGTGGAGGCTGGATGGCCATCTGTCAGGGGTGATTTGAATGCAATATTCCTGCTTCTTGGCAGAATGGGGTTGGACTGGATGGCCCATGAGGTCTCTTCCAACTCTTCGGTTCTATGATTCTATGATTCTATGAAATGTCACCTTTTCGTGAACCCAGCAACACATGGGCTCCAGCAGACTTCCTCTCCCCTTCTGGGCCAACTAAGCCCCCAAACGATAATGACTCAACAGAAACTCTTGCATGAACAGTAGGACAATGGGCACAATCCCTCAGGCCTCAGAGTTTGCCCATCGGGAGGATGTGCCCCATGGCAAATTCAATCATTCCTCACCACAGGGGACATCCTGCCTAAGGAGGCTATTGATGTCCCCACAGCCTCCTTCTTTGTTGAGGTCTCTTCCAACTCTTTGATTCTAGGATTCTATGAATATGAAACTGACTTTGGGAGCTTTCCAATGTTTACAAAACTAAAATGAATAAGTATGGGATAAGTTTCGATTCTTACATCTTTGGCGTAGTCCACGCCTGTGTATTAGACACCAATTCGCAAATTTAACAAATTTGATCCAATTTACAAGGACTAACGAAAAAAATTGCACACTCTAACAATGGCTACACTTCACTGGACAACATAATATGTTGTTTGGGGATGATGAACATTGTAGTCCAATGGAGCCAGGGGGTGCCATGTTTGGAAAGGGCGACTCATGAGAGTTGGGATGTGTTGGAAACTCATGCAAAGAACGGGCCTAATTTCCTCTGAAAGCCTTTCGCAGGAACCACACTGAAAAAAACATTCAAAGACGTGTAAGACGCATCAGTGAAATGGCGAATCTATTCCAGGTTTAGTCGTACAAGGAGCTCTCCGAGGTGCTGAGCCCTATTCCCGAATGGTATCAGTACCGTGGATAGCTCCTTTAAAACGAGGCAAAACCTGGAATGGATTCACTGTCTTGCTGATATGGAATCCACAAGCCGTACAAGGAGCTCTCCAAAGTGCTGAGCCCTATTCCCGAATGGTATCAGTACCTTGCATAGCTCCTTTAAAACGAGGCAAAACCTGGAACTGATTCACTGTCCTGCTGATTTGGAATCTACAAGCCAAACAAGGAGCTCTCCAAAGTGCTGAGCCCTATTCCCGAATGGTATCAGTACCTTGGATAGCTCCTTCAAAACGAGGCAAAACCTGGAACGGACTGACTGCCCTGCTGGTATGGAATCCACAAGCCGTACAAGGAGCTCTCCGAGGTGCTGAGCCCTATTCCCGAATGGTATCAGTACCTTGAATAGTTCCTTTCAAACGAGGCAAAACCTGGAATGGATTCACTGTCTTGCTGATATGGAATCCACAAGCCGTACAAGGAGCTCTCCAAAGTGCTGAGCCCTATTCCCGAATGGTATCAGTACCTTGCATAGCTCCTTTAAAACGAGGCAAAACCTGGAACTGATTCACTGTCCTGCTGATTTGGAATCTACAAGCCAAACAAGGAGCTCTCCAAAGTGCTGAGCCCTATTCCCGAATGGTATCAGTACCTTGGATAGCTCCTTCAAAACGAGGCAAAACCTGGAACGGATTCACCGTCCTACTGATATGGAATCCACAAGCCGTACAAGGAGCTCTCCGAGGTGCTGAGCTCTATTCCCAAATGGTATCAGTACCATGGAGAGCTCCTTTAAAACGAAGCAAAACCTGGAACGGATTCACCGTCCTGCCAATATGGAATCCACAAGCCGTAAAAGGAGCTCTCCAAGGTGCTGAGCCCTATTCCCGAATGGTATCAGTACCTTGGATAGCTCCTTCAAAACGAGGCAAAACCTGGAACGGATTCACCGTCCTACTGATATGGAATCCACAAGCCGTACAAGGAGCTCTCCGAGGTGCTGAGCTCTATTCCCAAATGGTATCAGTACCATGGAGAGCTCCTTTAAAACGAAGCAAAACCTGGAATGGATTCACTGTTCTGCTGATGCGGAATCCACAAGCCGTACAAGGAGCTCTCCGAGGTGCTGAGCTCTATTCCCGAATGGTATCAGTACCTTGGATAGCTCCTTCAAAACGAGGCAAAACCTGGAATGGATTCACTGTCCTGCTGATGCGGAATCTAGGCTTGGGCGATCCAGTTCGTTAATTTCGTTATTCGTTATTAATTCGTATTTAAATTAGCTTACGATCCAATATCGAGCCATGCAGGAATAGTGTGAGGAGTAATTAAGAATCGAAACAATTTTTCCAATTTTCGTAATTATTTCGTAATTATTTTTTCGTAATTATTTTAGGGTCATTTATTATATTATTATTATATTATTATATTATTATATTATTATTATATTATTTCTATATTATTATATTATATTATATTGTATATTATTATATATAATTATATATATATATTATAATATATATTATTATATAATATATAATATATAATATAAAATATAATATAAATATATAATATAATAATATAATAATATATATAATAAATAATGTATTATATATATATATATATGTTATAATAATATATAATATTATAATATTATAATAATATAATATACAATAATATAATATAATAATATTATATTATAATATACAACAATATAATATAATAATATAATAATAATATAATATAATATAGTTGTTGTTTGTTTTATCACACCAACAGTCAACAACAGAGGGAGAAGGAAGCTTCAGAAGTTCCCCCTGTCCCATTTGGAGGGTTTTTTTAGCATATTGCGCAATTGCGTCCGCCATTAACGAATTGATTCGTAATTTATGAAATTTCAGAAATTTTGAAATTTTGAAATCTTAAATTTCGGAAGTCCTCAGAATTTCGAAACGCTAGCGCACCCTAGAAACGAAACGAGTTTAGAACCAATTTTTTTCTTGATCGCCCAAGCCTAGCGGAATCCACAAGCCGAACAAGGAGCTCTCCGAGGTGCTGAGCCCTATTCCCGAATGGTATCAGTACCTTGGATAGCTCCTTTAAAACGAGGCAAAACCTGGAATGGATTCACCGTCCTTATGATATGGAATCCACAAGCCGTCTCTGAAACTTGCTCACAACTCCTGCCCGTTTCGGTTTAGCTGGTGCCGATCTTCTTCGAGCGTCATGGGGATTTTGCCGGTATTAAGGAACCTAAGGAAATAATCCGGGGCGTAAGAGCCTCGGATCTGACGAGAGATTGTCTCAATGAAAACAGGGCACTTGGATGGGAAATGGTCATGGCTATAAATCGAGCAGGCGCTCCTCGCAGGTCTCCGACGGCCACTTGGCCGCGCCCCCAAAGACGTCCACGTTGTTGTCGACCCAAGGGATGATGTTGCCGGGCATGTTGGCGGAGCAGTTCGCAATATTCATGATGTCTTCGGGCTTTAAGACTCTGTCCCAGATATTGAACTGGCTCATCTCGCCGACAAAGGCTTGCGTGGCATCAAATCTCCCACCGACAGTGTCCTGGAGAAGAAAGAGAGTGTGAATGGTTATAATAATAATAATAATAATAATAATAATAATAATAATAATGTATTGTCAAAGGCTTTCATGGCCAGAATCATTGGGTTGTTGTAGGTTTTTTTGGGCTATATGGCCATGGTCTAGAAGCATTCTCTCCTGACGTTTCGCCTGCATCTATGGCAAGCATCCTCAGAGGTAGTGAGGTCTGTTGGAAGTAGGAAAAAGGGTTTATGTGTCTGTGGAATGACCAGAGTGGGACAAAGAACTCTTGTCTGCTGGAGGCAGGTGTGAATGTTTCAGCTGACCACCTTCATTAGCATTTGATAGCCTGGAAGTGCGTGGGGCAATCTTTTGTTGAGAGGTGATTAGATATCCTTGTTTGTTTCCTCTCTGTTGTTGTGCTGTTGTAATTTTAGAGTTTTTCAATACTGGTAGCCAGATTTTGTTCATTTTCATGGTTTCTTCCTTTCTGTTGAGATTGTCCACATGCTTCTTGTGTATTTCAGTGGTTTCTCTGTGTAGCCTGGCATGGTGGCTGTGAGAGTGGTCCAGCATTTCTGTGTTCTCAAATAATACGCTGTGTCCAGGTTGTCCATTGAAATCCACAAGAAGCAGGTGGACAATTTCAACAGAAAGGAGGAAACCATGAAAATGAACAAAATCTGACTACCAGTATTTAAAAAACTCTAAAATTGCAACAGCACAACAACAGAGAGGAAACAATCAGGGACAGCTAATCACCTCTCTACAAAAGATTGCTCCAGGCACTGCCAGGTCAGTTGAAACATTCACACCTCCCTCCAACAGACAAGAGTCCTTTGTCCCACCCTTGTCATCATTCCACAGATATATAAACCCCTTTTTTCATCAAGGATATCTAATCACCTCTCAACAAAAGATTGCCCCAGGCACTGCCAGGTCAGTTGAAACATTCACACCTAGCTCCAACAGAGAAGAGTCCTTTGTCCCACCCTGGTCATCATTCCACAGATATATAAACCCCTTTTTCCTAGTTCCAACAGACCTCACTACCTCTGAGGATGCTTGCCCTAGATGCAGGCAAAACGTCAGGAGAAAATGCCTCTGGAACATGGCCATATAGCCCGAAAAAAACCTACAACAACCCAGTGATTCTGGCCATGAAAGCCTTCAACAGCGCTGTTGCGGGCGTCCATGTCGCTCACCTGCTCCTGGCCCAGAATGAGGACTCCTCCGGGCTTAATGGGGTGCCAAGGAGCTAAGTTGTCCCCGGTGCCGAGCTTCTCTCCATCCTGGAAGGCCTCCCACATCCCGTCCCGCGTCGTCCAAGTGACGCAGATGTGGTGCCATTTCCCATCGCTGATGAAGAGCGGCAGTTGGGCCACCTGCACAAAGAGAGAGAGAGAGCAACAAACGAACCAACCTCATTAGGAAGGAACCCACACTGATTGCAGGCAAGACGCCCAAGGCAGAGTCCTCTTGGGTCTCTCAGGAGGATGTTGGCCTGCATCAAGAGGAGCCTAGTGTCTAGATCAGTGGTTCTCAACCTTGCTAATGCCGCGACCCCTTAATACAGTTCCTCGTGTTGTGGTGACCCCCAGCCATGACATTATTTTCGTTGCTACTACACAACTGTCATTTTGCTACTGTTGTCCCGTGATATGAGATTAGGTCTCTGGTTGGAGAGAGCCAAGGAAACGTTAATGCAGTGGTTCTCAACCTTCCTGATGCCACAACGCCTTAATACATTTCCTCATCTTGTGGTGACCCCCAACCATCACATTATTTTCGTTGCTACTACACAACTGACATTTTGCTACTGTTGTCCCATGATATGAGATTAGGTCTCTGGTTGGAGAGAGCTAAGGAAAGGTTAATGCAGTGGTTCTCAACCTTGCTAATGCCGCAACACCTTAGTACAGTTCCTCGTGTTGTGGTGACCCCCAACCATCACATTATTTTCATTGCCACTACACAACTGTCATTTGGCTACTGTTGTCCCGTGATATGAGATTAGGTCTCTGGTTGGAGAGAGCTAAGGAAACATTAATCAGTGGTTCTCAACCTTGCTAATGCCGCGACCCCTTAGTACAGTTCCTCGTGTTGTGGTGACCCCCAACCATAACATTATTTTATTGCCACTACACAACTGTCATTTTGCGACTGTTGTCCCGTGATATGAGATTAGGTCTCTGACTGGAGAGAGCTAAGGAAACGTTAATGCAGACTAACTCAACCAGAGAAGTCAGCCATAGCAGAGCACTTGATGACCCAACCTGGACACATCATATTATTGGAGGACACAGAAATGCTTGACCACTCTCACAACCACCATGTCAGACTGCATAGAGAAGCCACTGAAATCCACAAGAGGCACGTGGACAATTTCAACAGAAAGTGGAGCTCTTTGGAAGCCTCGTTTCAACCTCAGGATGTTCCCCAAAGAAAGACAACGGGCTCTCCAAAGCTCACCTTGTCGTTGATGAGCAGCTCAATGGGGTTGTTCCCCCACTCGATGAGGACCACCTCGTTGGCCTGGCCGGGGACGGCGTACGAGAAGGGCGTCCCGATCCCCGGAGAGGCGCCGGACTTCAGCCACAAGCAGACCGTGAAGGCGTAGAGCTCCGGGAGCGTCTTCTTGACCTTCCCGTACAAGTAGTTGGTGCGGAGCGGGAGGGAGACCTTGAACGCGTCGGGGGCCTTGAAGGCGCTGGTCCCTGCGGGGGGGAGGGGAGACCGGGGGGGGGAGACGGTCAGCACAGAAGAGTAAATATATATGCAGAAATATTCATAAAATATATATAGAAATATTCATGAAAATATATGTAGAAATATTCATAACAATATCTGCAGATATATTAATAAAAATATCTGCTGAAATATTCATATAATATATGCAGAAATATTAATAAAAATATTTGCAGAAATATTCATATAATATATGCAGAAATATTCATAAAATATATGAAGAAATATTCATAATATATATATAGAAATATTCATAAAAATATATGCAGAAATATTCACATGTAGAAATATTCATAAAAACATCTGCAGAAATATTCATAAATTATATGCAAAAATATTCATACAAATATCTTCAGAAATATTCATAAAATATATGCAGAAATATAAAAAATATCTGCAGACATATTCATACATTATATGCAAAAATATTCATAAAATATATGCAGAAATATTCATAAAAATATCTGCAGAAATATTCATATAAATATCTTCAGGAATATTCATAAAATATATGCAGAAATATTCATAACAATATCTGTTGAAATATTCATAAATTATATGCAAAAATATTCATGAGAATATCTGCTGAAATATTCATAAAACATTCAGAAATATTCATAAAATATCTGCAAAAATATTCATATAATATATGCAGAAATATTCATATTATATATGTAGAAATATTATATATATTATATATGCAGAAATATTCATAAAAATATCTGCAGAAATATGCATGAAAATATCTGCAGAAATATTAATAAAATATATGTAGAAATATTCATGAAAATATCTGCTGAAATATTCATAAATTATATGCAAAAATATTCATCAAATATATGTAGAAATATTCATTAAAATATCTTCAGAAATATTAACAAATTATATGCAGAAATATTCATAAAGTATATGCAGAAATATTCATAAAAATATCTTTAGAAATATTCATAAAATATCTGCAGAAATATTCATGAAAATATCTGCTGAAATGTTCATAAATTATATGCAGAAATATTCATAAAATATATGTAGAAATATTCATAAATTATATGCAGAAATATTCATAAATTATATGCAGAAATATTCATAAAAATATCTGCTGAAATATTAATAAATTATATGCAGAAACATTCATAAAATATATGCAGAAATATTAATAAAATATATGCAGAAATATCAAAACATCTGCAAAAATATTCATAAAATATATTCAGAAATATTAATAAAAATATCTGAAGAAATATTCATATAAATATCTTCAGGAATATTCATAAATTATATGCAGAAATATTCATAAAATACCACACAGAAATAGTCTTTGAAGTAATTTAAAGTATTCCTTAAAATATTCATAAAAGTATCTGAAGAAAATATCATGAAAATATCAGCAGAAAATCCTAAAAAAAATCTGCAGAAATATTCATTAAAATAATCCTTTAAATGTTCATCAAAAAATTAGTGCAGAAATATTTACAAAATTAATAATAAAAAATATTCACAAAAATCATTCACATAAAAAAATATTCACAATATTTAATGAATATTTCTGCATATAATTTATGAATATTTCTGCAGATATTGTTATGAATATTTCTACATATATTTTATGAATATTTTTGCACAAAAATAATCATAAAAGACCTTGCAGAAATATTCACAAAAATAGGCATCTAAATATTCACAAAAATAATCATTAAAAATATTCACAAAATATTATTGCAAAAATATTCACAAAAATGTTCAGGGTGGGAGGAAGAGACCTTGCCTGTTTCACAGGAGAACTCCAGGCAGCAAGCAATCAAGGGCCAGCTAACAGAGGGTGCCTCCAGGCAACAACAGCCAGGCTGCGTCTATGCAGATACCCTCACTCACTGAATGCGCAGCTTCATGGCTACTCAGTGCTATTCAAGCTTGCTAACTGAAGCATTCTTTAAACAGATCAGGGTTCTTTCTCCCACCCTGGATATTATTCCACAGGAATATTATAGACACTGCATTTCCTTCACTGCCAGCAGAACCTCTGAAGATGCCATTAGCCACAGATGCAGGCGAAATGTCAGGAGAGAATGCTGCTGGAACATATTGGCCAGACAGCCCGGAAAATTCATAGCAACCTATCTTCAGAAATAGTCATGAAAATATCTGCAGAAATATTCATGAAAATATTTGCAGAAATATTCGTGAAAATATATGCAGAAATATTGATAAAATAATAATTAAAATATTCACAAAAATATTCACAAAAATAATCATTAAAACATTCACAGAAATAATAATAAAAGTACTTGCAGAAATATCCACAAAATAATCCTAGAAACATTCGCAAAAAAGAATCATTAAAAATATTCACAAAAAATATTGCAGAAATATTTAAAAATGATGTGCAGAAATGTTCACAAATTATTTGCACAAATATTCACAAAATATGTGAAGAAATATTCACAAAATTAATCATAAAAAATATTCACAAAAATCATCTCAAAAATGTTCACAAAAATAATCATTAAAATCACAGAAATAATCATAAAAGTACTTGCAGTAATAATCACAAAATCATCCTAGAAATATTCACAAAAAATAATCATTAAAAGTATTCACAAAAATTATTTGCAAAAATATTCACAAAAGATGTGCAGAAATATTCACAAAATTAATCATTAAAAATATTCACAAAAATCATCTCAAAAACGTTCACAAAAATAATCATAAACATTGGCCAGACAGCCCAAAAAATTCATAGCAACCCATCTTCAGAAATATTCATAAAAATATTTGCAGAAATATTCATTCAATATCTTTAGAAATATTGATAAAAAATAATTAAAATATTCACAAAAATAATCATTAAAGTTCTTGCAGAAATATTCACAAAATAATCCTGGAAACATTCACAAAAAAGAATTAAAATATTCACAAAAATATTGTGGAAATATTCACAAAAGATGTGCAGAAATATTCACAAAAATTAATAATAAAAATATTCACAAAAATCATCTCAAAAACGTTCACAAAAATAATCATAAACATTGGCCAGACAGCCTGGAAAATTCATAGCAACCCATCTTCAGAAATATTCATAAAAATATTTGCAGAAATATTCGTAAAAATATCTTCAGAAATATTGATAAAATAATAATTAAAATATTCACAGAAATAATCAATAAAATCTTCACAGAAATAATCATAAAAGTACTTTCAGAAATATCCACAAAATTATCCTAGAAACATCCACAAAAAAGAATAATTAAAAATATTCACAAAAATATTGCGGAAATATTCACAAAAGATGCGCAGAAATGTTCACAAAAAATTATTGCAGAAATATTCACAAAAATTATTGCAAGAAATATTCACAAAATATGTGCAGAAATAAATATCTGTAGAAATCTTCATAAAAATATTTGCAAAAATATTCATTAAATAGCTGCAGAAATATTCATTCAATATCTGCAGAAATATTGATAAAATAATAATTAAAATATTCACAAAATATTCACAAAAATAATCATTAAAATGTTCACAGAAATAATCATAAAAGTACTTGCAGAAATATCAACAAAATAATCCTGGAAACATTCACAAAAAAGAATCATTAAAAATATTCACAAAATATGTGCAGAAATATTCACAAAAAATTATTGCAAGAAATATTCACAAATATATTGCAGAAATATTCACAAAAGATGTGCAGAAATATCCACAAATTATTTGCAGAAATGGTCACAAAAATTATTGCAAGAAATATTAACAAATTATTTGCAGAAATATTCACAAAATATGTGTAGAAATATTCACAAAAAAATATTGCAGAAATATTCACAAAAATTATTGCAAGAAATATTCACAAAAAATATTGCAAGAAATATTCACAAATTATTTGCAGAAATGTTCACAAAATATGTGCAGAAATATTCATAAAAAATATTGCAGAAATATTCACGAAAAAATTATTGCAGAAATATTCACAAATTATTTGCAGAAATGTTCACAAATTATTTATTTATTATTTATTTATTTACTTTGCTTCTATACCGCTGTATCTCAAGCCCGAAGGCGACTCACAGCGGTTCACAAACAGTAAAAACAGTAGAAACAGCAGTGGTTCCATACAACATATAACAATTGACTTAACACATTATCCATAAATTACCAATAAGCAATTACAATGCACAATTATTACAAAAAACAACCGTACCCAATCTTCTCATCATCCAAGCGTAGTCCAGATTCGTCGTCCCTTGTTCCATTCCTATGTTCCATTACCAGATTGTACTAAATTACTCAAACGCCTGCACAAACATCCAGGTCTTCACCTTTTTGCGGAATACCATTAGAGATGGTGCTAGTCTAATGTCCGTAGGAAGGGCGTTCCACAGCCGAGGAGCCACCACCGAGAAGCCCTATCTCTCGTCCCCGCCAGCCGAGCTTGAGAAGCAGGCGGGATCGAGAGCAGGGTCTCCCCGGAAGATCTCAAAGTCCTGGTGGGTTCATAGGCAGAGATGCGGTCAGATAGGTAGCTTGGGCCAGAACCGTTTAGGGCTTTATAGGCCAACGCCAGCACTTTGAATTGGGCCCGGTAGCAAATCGGCAGCCAGTGGAGCTGGTGCAGCAAAGGAGTTGTATGCTCCCTGTGCTCCGCTCCTGTTAGTATCATGGCTGCCGAGCGTTGGACTAGTTGGAGCTTCCGAGCCGTCTTCAAAGGCAACCCTACGTAGAGAGCGTTGCAGTAGTCTAAACGGGATGTAACCAGAGCGTGGACTACCGTGGCCAGAAATGTTCACAAAACATTTGCAGAAATGTTCACAAAATATGTGCAGAAATATTCGTAAAATGCACACTGGAATATTCTTAAAAGTAATTTAAAATATTCATTAAAATATCTGCAGAAATAATCATGAAAATATCAGCAGACACTCATAAAATATGTGCATAAATATGTATGCAAATATCTGCAGAGGTACATGCATTG